AATCTAACAGGTTTTGACTCATTTTGAGAAAATACCCTTAAAAATTGACTTATTTTGAGTTAATTGAAAAGTATACTTATTTTGAGCTAACCACACAAAGGTTGGCTTATTCTTGATAAATTTTCCCATATTTAAATGTTAGTTTTTTTTTTTTTTTTTTTTTTTTTTTTTTTTTTTTTTTTAGGAAACAAATTTAAATGTTATAGCTTTCTTCATTCAAGCCAACACAAAATAAAACTAAAGCCTTGTTCGGTTGAACAAAAAAATTACACTTTTAGAGCTTTTCAACTTATATATTATAGAGGTGTCAAAACTGATCTGACTCGAAAAATATGATCCATTTCAAATTATAAACGATCCGATTTTTATCTAATAAATTGAAGACACAAGCCCAATTTGTAATCGAACCAAACTCAACCCGAATCCGAATTTGACTCGATTTGAACTTAACCCGACACCAATTTGACTCAACTTGAACTCAACCCAAAACCAATTTGACCCTACTTGAACTCAAACCAAATGATTTGACCCGATCTGAACTTAATCCGAACCGAAATTGACACGATAAATACCCAATTTAATCCGATATGTTTTTTACTCGGACTGATATTAACCCAATCCGATTTTAACCTGACCTGATTTTGACTTGACATGATTTCAATCCAACCATAATTTTAAACCCAACCCATTATTTACCCTTTTTTTCACTTAAACATATATTAATGAAACAATAAAGACCTAATAACAAGATTAAAATAAAGACTCAATAATTACTCTACTTTTAAAAATGTACTTATTTGAATATTAAATTTGGTCAATCTAACCAATCATATTCAGCCAAACATATATAAAAAGTGTCCTAAACCAAACCGAATCAACCTTAGTAATCAAATTGAACATAATAGAACCAAAATCAACCGAATCGGAACCAACCCGATACAAAGTCCTTAGCCGGAAATTAATTCGATCAAACCCATTTTGAACCCGATTCAAATCTATACGAACCGAATATGAACCGATCTAAAGCTAACCCCAGTCAAACCCAATCTAGTCTCGAGATATCTTAACCTAAATTTGATCCTGAGGAGGATTACAAGGGTAATTTTGAACCAAATGTATCCGATCCGAATAGACCCTACCTGAAAAAACCCGATCCAAACTCCAGCTGGTTATCCGAACTGACACCTCTTATATATTATACAAGTATATCTTGTTTTGAGTTTTGGCCTCTGGCTCTAAAGTAATGATTAAAACAAAAATCGCAAAGCTGATCCCCTATGCGACGCGCTTTTAGGATTCTATCATCTTTTAAAACTTTATCTTTTCCCGATTTTTAATTATATAGTGTTTAGTGTAAAAAATATCCCTTACGTGCGGTGAGGACCAATCCCATAGTGACACGTGGCCAAGTTAAAAGGCAACACGTGTCCCTATGGGAAGATGACGCGTGTCTAATGCTCAAAAAAAGCACCTAAGATCAGAGAAAAGGGCCTTTCTTACATCAGAGCCCAAATCCCGAGAAATTCTGTTGAAAGCCGCAAAGTGGCGCCCCCATCCTACACGTGGCACCACCTGATTGTGCAGCCAATCAGGTCACGCAAAATTAGGGTAAAAACCCTAAAAGGGCACAAACTCCAACCCCTTTAAGTACCCCAATCATTTATGATGGGAGGGGAGGGTGACATTACATTAAAAAGAGCATTAAATAGCTCATACTTATCTCTACTTTATCTCTCTAGCTTTTCCGTTTCCGGTTACTAACTTAACCATCGAAGGCAAATATTTCAGTTACGGAATATTCGTTGTTTTACAGGTGTCAAGTCTCGTTGCCAGAAGTATGTGACCAGTGTCTCGAGGGAATCCAAAAAATCCCCGAAACATTTGGCACTGTCTGTGGGGATACTCGTCCGTAATGGCAATAGATGGTCAGACACCTAATACCAGCCATGGCCCTGGTCAGGACGACCATATAGAAGATATAACCACAACAATCAATTCTAATGATCCTCTGATTGCCACATTTCATGAGGCTGAGTATCTACCAGATACTATTGCCTCTCTAAAAGTAGCTCTGAGTAACCTTCGAAAGGAGTTAAAGAAAAGAGGTCTCCAGAAGGGTGGAGGGCGGCTCTCAGAGAAGAAATCAGAGCAAGGCAACAAATGCTGAAGATGTTGGGAACACTCCCTTTCGCCGGTCGCGTGGTCGGACTCCTTGAGTGCCACGAACGAATCTGTCAAGGCTCCCTGAGAGAACCCAATCGGTTGGGGGGCAGGCCAGACATCCTCGGAGGGAGATCTTGAGCCGTCTCAACGTTGGAAGGATGCTAGGATTACATCCGGCACAAGCGAAGGGAGCGGGTTGTTAAGTCAAACACGGCTTCCACCCCTACCATGCCGGATGAATTCTCTAGCCACTCTCTTTCCCAACATACCAACACGACCAAGACCAGTGTAAGTCTGACTGCTCGTACTCTAACTCCCATTCCCGTGCAACCAATTCAGCCTGTTCAATATCAGATTCCTCAGAATTTGAATGCATTTTTTCCGCATAGTCCTAATGTCCTCGGACAATACGGGCAATTCACCCAGCCGTTCGACCAAACTGCTTATCTGGGCGGAACGTCCGTTTAGGTTGGGGGAATTTGATGAGTGACTTTTATGTCACTCTTAGGAAGTATTTTTAGAGTCATCTTTGTGCTTGTTTTGTCGTATTCTCCCTTTTTATTCTCTTGTTTTCTTGTTAATAAAGTTTCTTATTTATTTGGTAATTTTTGTCATGTTTTAGTCCTTTTTGTAGTTTTATTAGAATTAGTTTATTTTCGTATTTTATTTATTTTTATTTTATTTCATTTATCCCAATTCCTTTCCTCAGTATTGTGTTTAGGTGTAGTTTGACTTTGGGTTTTAAGTCAAGTGAGTCCGGTTTCCGGGTTAGAGTCAAATTCCTAATGCCAACTTTCATAAAGCATGCTGCCAGCCTCCAACACTGCTGCCCACCTTCCTATCCTTCACCCCACCAAAACCTTATCCTTCATCACACTCCTCTGCTCCCTCTCCTTCACTCACGCATACAGCCTCCACCAGCCAAGTTCCCCTGCTCCCTCACTCAATCAGCAGCCTCACGCTGCTGCTTCCACCACATCAATCTCACTTGCAACCTCATCAGCCCCTACCAACAACAATCGCACCAACCTATCGCAGCCACAACAACACCTAACCCGCAACAGCAGCTCAATCACCAATCTACCAGTCACCAATCACAATTAACACCAACCCGCAAAACCCACACTCCAACCACCAGTTTACCGAGCTGCAGCTCCTCTTGTCTCCGTACAAACCGCAACAACAGCAGCCCCGCACCGCTACTGCTGCTTCCTTCACCAATTAAACCGAACCAAACCACCTTTCGCAGCCACAACCGCACCAATTTATAACCACAATCAATCCCGCAATTCAGCCCTTAAAAGCCCCTATTTGATTGGAGCTAATTGGGGGCGCGTAACCCTGTCAGAAGGCGCACGCAATTGGAGTCCAAAAACAGATTCGAGGCAGTAAGTTATGCGCGACCTCTTCATGGGCGCACAAATGTGGGTTCAATTTGAGCCATATCACGAGCTTTGCACGTGATGTTAATGAAGATCAACGGCCTTGATTTGATGTTTAATGATTGACGATGATGATGAGCGGTGACAATTGAAGATGATAATGGTTGATGATGATTGATGAAGACGATCAAACGGTTGTGATGATGATTCAAGAGCAGCCAAAATATCGAAGAAGAGGAGATGGTCTGATGCGATTTAGTGGACTTTGGTTTTATTTTTTTATTTCATTTTCTTTTCTTAATTCTTTTTCCTTTTATCTCTTTTTACTTTAATTTATTTTTCCTTTTCTTTAATTCTTTATTTTCTTAGCTTTGTATAAAACTATAAATACCCATTTTGGGTAATTCAACAATCAACAATTATTCTATTTTCTTAATTAGTTTTAGGAGAGCTTCTCTCTCTAGGGTTAGCTTAGGATTAGAGTAGTTTAGAGAGACAAAGTGAGGGTTTCACCATTGTTGAGCTTGGATTTTGAAGAATAAGATTGATCATCTTGTTTGTAAACTTTCATCTTCAATCAATGAGAATCTCTAACTCTCTCTCCTCTATTTTATTTACTTTATTTTGATTATTGTTTTAGTTCTTAGTGTTGCTTGTTAATCATGTTGATTCTTGGTTATTTGTTAATTAATCTTGTTATTATCATGATTAGTGAGTAATCTCTCCATTAAGGGGATGGTTGTGGTGATGTTGGATCTTGAGCATGTTCTAGGGTTTGGAATTGTTTTATTTGTGATTAAAGTCTTTATTTGCTTGATATTCTTCAATATACTTGCAAAATGCATGTTGTTACTTGATTGGGAGTGAATTATTGTTAGAAGATGCGATAGCAGACCTAGCAAGATTCATTTATACCGATTGTTATTTGATAGCACCTCCTAGTATATGGTTCTAATGTGGAAGCATAGAGTCTATGTTAGGAGAAGCCAATGAACCCCGGAAGGTGGCTAGATTGGACCTTACTTTGATATTCGAGCATGTTTACACTACAAGAAAAACGGGTTTGGGCGACGAACTTCATTAGTATGGGCAACGAAATATGCTGTCGTTGCACAAAAATGTTAATATGGGCTTCTAATCCAATTTCGTTGCCCAAATCTATATTTTGGGCGACGAAATACAATCCCGTAGCCCAATATGACTTTTGTGCCACGAGTATATATATATGGGCTACCAATTTTTTTTCGTTGCCCAAATTTAATAAAACGACAAATTAATTTAATTCTACAGTCGCCCAAAACTTAAAAATAAGGCGGAAATTTTAATTTTTATTTTGTAATTTCCCACGTTCACAAATTAGTATAGAGTTCTCTCGCGGTTTTTCCCAAACTAATGAACTCTTAATTCTATTCAAAAAAAAAAAAAATGAACTACTCTTAATTAATCAGGTATTCAACTCCCACCTCACCTCTAATTCAATCTTCTCCCTAAAACGAAACCCTCGTACTCTACCTCTAATTGCATAATCTTCTCCTCAAATCAGGTTTTTTCGGTGGCCGCTCCGATCTAGTCTGGTTCTCTCCGACGCGGCACACAAAATCTTACACTACACTCGCATCTAAAGAGTATCTATTCAGGTAATTCTCATCTACAAATTCGGATTTTTTTTTTTTAACATTTCTGGGTGAAATTTGGTCTTTGAATTGATATAATCTGCTATGTGAGTCGATTGATTTAACATGCAAGGTAGAAATCCCATTTTATTTGTCGAATTATAGGAAATTTGAGCGTTTTTATAAAAGTCGATTGATTAATCAATGAATCATGTTAACAATGGTTTTGGTTCGTTGTTTATTCTCTTTCAATTTTGTTGCGATTATGTGTTTTTGGTTCAGATATGTTTAGTTTCTTGATAATTTTGTAGTAAATTGTATTGTTGTTTTATTTACAATTTTATTGTGATTTTCATTGAGAATTTCTTGCAATTTTAGTTGATTGATTATACTTTATATCTAGGCAATACTTAAAATGATCATTACATGTAATTTACATAATCAGATTAATATTTGCATTGATAATATTCATTCTGTTGGACATATCTTGGGATTTTTCTCATACAGTGGGTCTAATTTAAAGTATTAAAAGAAAAGATGGATAACTTGACTACCTGCACAATCTTTTGATACTTAAAAATGGAATGAGATTGATGTAATTGAGCTGTCTTTGCCTAAAAATTGAGCTGCTGCCTGTTAAGAATCTTTAAACTATATGTTAGAATATATTGGGATATATTATGACTTTGTATATTTGTTATATATGTTAGGAGTATAATTAGCTTTAGATGTATCCCTTAATTAGAGCTAATCAGTTTGTATACTCTAGCTAATTCCTAGCTAATCAGTTTGTATACTCTGCCTAACTTCACGCTTGTAATCTTGTATATAAGCCAAGGATGCTTAATGAATTGAGGAAGGAAAGATTCCCCATAATTCTTTCACTATACAATCTCATTCCAGTTAAAACTATAACTGTGTCAAAAAAAAGTTAAAACTATAACATAATAACCATATTAATATTTGCATTGATAATTAGGTATGTTACATCTAAAGGGTTCAAAAGATATATTTCCCTTTAATTCAAATATCTTTATACTAGGCACTAAACCAAATTTATAATATTCAATTAGAAATGTCTTAAGAAACAATTAAATTGGCACGACATCATTCCATAAGATTTAGTATTAGTTAGTCTAAAGTCTAAACTTTAACAGACCAATATAAATAATGCAAGTAATAAAGTTTCAAGTTTAACTTGAAGTTCCTATTATATAAAAAATTAAAACCTCCAAATTTTTCATCACTTATGTTGGTATGTTTGTTTTTGTGATGAATCTAATGATGTAAGATTTTCTTGTTCACACGGTTAATAGCTAAACTATCTAATGTGATCATTTTTTTGTCGCTAATGTTTTTTTTTTAATTATTGTTTGTAAGAATGAATATGGATTGAAGTTGGATGAATCATAATGGTGTAAAGGATAGACAAAAAAAGGAGTACATAGCGGGTGTTAATGAATTTCTACGGTTTGCTTTTAGGGGAATAAGTGGCGAAACAATGTTGAAATGTCCTTGTCTTAACTGTAGATTGGTTATGTCACAAACTCGTAAAAATATGCTATGTCACTTGCTAGTATATGGCATTGATCGTAGTTACAACCCATGGTTGAGTCACGGAGAAAGTGTAGAGCAAATTGATAAAAATAAAGATCAAGGGTATGTAGCAGAGGTTTCAGATAATGAGAGTGAGGATCGTCCTTTTGATGACATGGCTCCATTTGTTTTCGATGCAACAAGCGCGTGGAATTCTATAAACTCTACATCGATCAATGAAAATGAAAGAACCACATATATAGGATCAAGTAGTGGCACTAGTGAAACTCCTATGTTGCTCCAAAAATTAGTGGAGGATATGGAGGCTGACTTGTATCCAGGATGTAAAACATTTAAGAGATTGGAGTTTATTATGTCATTGTTGCACATTAAAGTTAGCAACAAGTGGAGTGATAAGTCTTTTTCAATGTTATTGAATGCATTGCATAGGGCGTTTAATTATGATAACAATTTGCCTTCAATCTCTTATGACGCAAAAAAATATACTAAAGCGCTAGGGTTAGATTATGTTAAGATTGATGCATGCGTCAGCCATTGTGTTTTATTTAGAAAGGAGTTTGCAAATGAAGTTAAATGTCCTAAGTGTTCAGCACCTCGATGGAAGCAGGATATTTCTCAAGATGATGAGAATTCAGACGATGAAGATGAGGGTGTCCATAGAAAAACACGAGTACCTCAATTAGTCTTGCGCCATTTTCCACTTATTCCAAGGCTCCAAAGGATGTTCATGTGCTCCAAGCTCGCAATGCACATGCGATGGCATAATAAAGGACATGCTGGTGATGATGACGACAATATTATGAGACACCCAAGAGATTCAAAATCGTGGAAGTCTTTAGATGAGCTATATCCCGAATTTGCTGCAGATGCACGTAATGTACGCTTGGCTTTAGCTAGTGATGGGTTCAATCCCGGGGCGAACATGAGTAGTAGATATAGCATATGGCCTGTTATGTTAGTACCTTATAATTTACCTCCTTGGATGTGCATGAAAAGTGACAACATGATGTTGTCATTATTAATTCCCGGCCCTAAATCTCCTGGTAATGACATAGATGTTTTTTTGCAACCTTTGATAGATGAGTTGAAGGAATTATGGGAGAGTGGGGTACAAACCTTTGATGCCCATAGTAAGGAGACATTTAATATGCGAGCAGTGTTAATGTGGACAATTAGTGATTTCCTAGTATATGCCAATTTGTCTGGCTGGAGCACTAAAGGGGCGAAGGCTTGCCCTAATTGCCACAAAGACACAAATTCCGAATGGTTGAAACATGGCCACAAATGGTGTTATATGTGTCATCGTGTTTTTTTAGAACCAGATCATAAGTGGAGACTTAATAAGAGGTTCTTTAGTAAGAAAGTTGAAAGGCGCGCACCACCTAATCCATTATCAGGGAATGATGCTTTGGAGCAGCTACATGGATACCCTAATGTGGAATTTGGTAAAGATAATAAAGGGAAACGAAAAAGAGGGGAAAGATATATTGTTCACCAGTGGAAAAAGATTAGCGTTTTTTTTCAATTGCCTTATTGGAGACATCTGTTAGTTCGACACAACTTGGATGTGATGCATGTGGAAAAAAACGTTTGTGAAAATATATTAGGCACATTGCTTGACTTACCTGGAAAGAACAAAGACTCTGTAAATGCTCGGTTGGATTTAGAAGTCATGAAAATGCACGATGATCTTCGACCGAAGAAAGTAAGGGACAAGTATCAAATACCGCGAGCCCCATTCAACTTGACCTTACATGAAAGGAGGAAAATTGTCACATTTTTATCGAAATTAGCGTTCCCCGATGGTTATTCATCTAACATTTCTCGATGTGCTTCTTTGCAAGATGGAAAAATCATAGGAATGAAAACTCATGATTTTCATGTTTTCATGCAAGATTTGCTTACCCCGACCTTTCAAGGTGTCTTAGATGAAAAAGTTTTAGAACCTTTAAGAGAGCTTAGTTTGTTTTTTAAGCAGCTTTGCGCTAAGACCTTAAAAGTAGCCGACTTGGAACGAATGGAAGCAAATATAGCAATCACATTATGTAAGCTAGAACGTATCTTTGTTCCGGCTTTCTTTGATGTGATGATTCATCTTCCCATACACTTAGCTACAGAAGCAAAATTGGCTGGACCTGTGCATTATCGCTGGATGTATCAATTTGAAAGGTAAGTTAATTTATTGTATGTCTAAATATCTAAAAATAAAGTGAATTTTATTACACTTATTCTAGTATTTATTAGTAGAGCAATGCGGACATTTAAATCATTTGTACGGAACAAAGCGCATCCTGAAGGTTCAATTGCCGAAGGGTATATTCAGAAGGAATTACTAGTATTTTGTGCTAGATATCTCTCTAAGATTGAGACACAATTCAATCGTTTAGATCGAAATGAGGATATGAACTATCCACAACTTCATAGTCTTTCGGTGTTTTATAACACCAGCAAGACATTGGGGAAGCCAAATTTAAAGCAATTGAGTATTGAAGATTGGAGAAAAGCTCAATTGTATGTTTTGCAGAATTGTGAAGAAGCACAACCTTTTTTTGAGTAAGTATATAAAATTATAATTATATTATTATACGATTATACGGACTAAATGTTGCTAAACATTTTTTTTTTGTTCGTAGTGAGTATGAGAATGACATAGGCCATCGAGATGTTGAATTCTGCAAGTGGTTTGAGAATAGAGTAAGATAGTGATTTATTCTTATATATATATATATATATACACACACATAAATACATTAAATTCTGCACATATATTCATTTTTTATTTGTATTTATATTGAAAATAATTAGATTATACAACTTTGGGAAGATAAGGATGAACGAGTTACAGAAGAATTATTGTGCTTGGCACGAGGGCCAATGAAGCGTGTTGTAACTTTTGACGGATATGTTATTAATGGGTTTAGATTTCACACTAAAAAGCGTCAAAGACATCGAAAAACTCAAAATAGTGGCGTTGTTGTATTAGGGGATGCAGAGAGTGGAGGGAAGGACTTTTACGGGACTTTAGATGAAGTTATTGTTCTGGAGTGTGATGCCTTAGAAAACCGAACAAGTCCTAAGGTGGTATTGTTTAGGTGTAAGTGGTTTGATGTATTCAGCGACGAAAGAGGGATTAAAAAGGACAAATTTGGGTCTACGCTTGTCAATGTTTCTCGTACATTGCAAACAAATGAACCTTTTGCATTAGCCTTTCAGATTGAACAAGTTTTCTTTATCTCTTCTCATGATGAGCGACATTGGAAATATGTAATTAAAGTTAAGCCACGTAACTTTTTTGATTTCCCTAATGATGAAGACGCTGAACAAAATGAAGATCTATGGAATATTGTGGAAGAAGGAGAAACTAACCTTGAAGAGTTCAGTGCACTTAGTGATGAGGAAATCAATATGGTAAGAGATGATGTTGAACCAGAGTTGGTTGATGCAGAGGTCATCTTAGAATGTACTAATAACATTGTTGACACGGATAATGACGATGAGCAAGAAGAGAAAAGTGAAGAGGATGATGAAGACGATCTTAATACAAGCTCTAGCGTGCATGAGATAGATGAGAATCTTGAGGATATAGAATCTGACAGCGATAGTTCTACAGATTCCCCTTCTTAGTTTCTGGTAATTGATGTTTTCTAAACTAAAATGAAGTAAATGAGTCACTTAAATCATTTTTTCTACATTAATAAATATATTGTATTGGTATAATTGCAGTTACCCAGCATCCGCGGAGAATGTTGCAATTTAGGCGCTACTACAATCTATAATCAAATCTTTGTTGCTCTTAGTTAGTAATTTGCAAAACTATTTTTATGCATTAGTGGTTTTCAGCTCATATGGTGACAAGTTAATCACTTGACATAAACTAGCTCTAGTCTTTGTTTTACTCTGTTCTTTGTGTTAGTTTCTTTGTTTTGTAGCAGCTTTCTTTTTTCAATTTGTTTGCTTTTCTTGTTTTGTTTTCTCTTGTTTGGGGTCTTCCCTCCGTTGCAATGCAACTGCTAATTTGTTGAGTAAGTCTTTTCATTTATATGTTTCTTTACATAGATTGGATTTGATGGAGTTTAGTTTTTCATAATTTTATGCTGCTTTTATTCTTATTTGAATATCACTAATATTATGCACAAGAAATTGTTATAGGAAAATGGCAATTGAGCAAGTGCAGCGGGATGGATCACAGTTGCCTAAGACAAGGCAAGCGTCAAGTACAAGGCAACATGTGCACAATGTGCAACAACAGAATACAAAGCAGCAACAACAACAAAATGCAGAACAACAACAAGAAACTGTCCAGCAACAACAACAGCAGATTGTGGGGCAGCAACAACAAACTGTCCAGCAGCAACAACAGCAGAATGTGCATCAGCAGCAACAACAACAGATTGTGGGGCAGCAACAACAACCGAATCAGGAGCAGCAGCATGATGCAGAAGCATCAACTAGTGATCAGTCCAGAGAGCAAAGATTGACATACCGGGAGAAACGAAGGCTTGAACAAGCTGAACATCGACTAAAGTTTCCTGATCGTAAGAGGCGTGGGCCAACTAGGGGTAAGAAATATGTTACTAAGATGTGGAATCCTAATTCTGAAGAAAAGATTAAAATAAATTTCATGGATGAGCTTCGACGGGTGGTTGGTGAAAAGGCAGATGAATTCATATGTGATTGTAGCAATTGGGTGAAAGAATTTTGTCCCCTCAAGTCATTGTATGTGCTATAACTTACAAGTTTTTTGAATATATGCTGCTAAAGTTAATTTTCATGACTCAAAATTTACTTTATTCATGACAGGAATTGGGCTAAAATGGATTCAGGTGCAAAAGAGAGGCTGTATAAAAAGATTCGAGTAAGTTTTGGAAGTATTTGAGACCATGAAAAATGTCTGAATGTGTTTAGCATATATGGATGCATATTTATTATGATTTACGTTGGCAGGCTAAATATGATTTACCTGATAAAGTTGCTGGTGCTGATGTTACTGATGCGTTGAGCTTTCAGTGCTCCATGTTGTATAAACATTGGAGATTTAGGCTTAAAGAGAAATACTTTAGAAACAAGTCTATTGCAGATGCTATAAATAGCATACCAGATAATATTGATGCTAACCAATGGACATGGCTAGTATGTGAGTATTGGAATGATGAAAAGCAAAAGGTAAAATTCCATTTGACTTTTTTTTTACCTGACCATTAGTTGAATTTATATTATGATAATCTGATAGTGCCTTGTTTTTTTATGGCTTGTAGCGTATTAGTAAAGTTAACACGGATAATAAGCTTAAGCAAACTGAAACTCCTGCAAATGGTGCAAGGTCTACCGCAAGAATTTTCCATGAATTGGTACGGCTTTTATATTTTTACAATGATTTATATAATAATTTGTTACGAAAACTATTCCTTTAGTCTCTCCTCTCGCTTAAAGTGGTGCAAATGAATAATTTCATGGTATATTAGTTCTGCTAGCTTTTGGACTGTAACTATTATTTGAGCACTGATCACATTTCATTGTATAATTTGGCATTGCTTATCATAAATGCAGATGAATGTGCAACAAAGAACATGAAGGATCATCAGATAATCCACTTGAAACTCAACAGGATCCTCTGTACATCACCTTATTTGAGAAAACTAAAAAGTAATCAATAGTCCCTTGGTGGTTTTTTTTTATTATTTTTTTATATAAGTTTTTTAAATTTTATAAATCATTGAATTGAGTTGTTTATTCTTGTGCTTGAATTAATATGCTAGGCATAAAGACAAGGGATTTGAACCTAATGCTGAAAAAGACTATGAAGCGCTTAGAAACCTTCATGAAAAAGAAGTGAAAGAGCATGGTGAAGATACACTAAGTGTCAAAGCAGCATACATGGAGGTTTTCAAACCAAAGTCTGGATATGTCAAGGGACTTGGTCCCGGAGCTCGTCCACCTAAGAAAAGAAGAGTTGAAGGAGAAACTAATGAAGTTAGAGTGAAATTATCAGCTGAGATTCAACAATTAAAAGAGGATGCCGCAACACGTGAGGGTGTACTTGTATCTCAGATTGAATCCCTGAAGGAATCTAATGAAGAGCTTAGAACCTCAAATGAAGAGCTTATAGCATCAAATGATAAGCTTAAAGCGACCGTATCTAGAATCAACATAGAAGCTCAGAAACGTGAAAAGAAGCTCAGAGATGATATGATGAAAATGTTTGAGCAACTTAGGTATGACACTTACTCATCTTCTATTTGAGATATATATTTTTAGTTATTATAAAAAAAATATGTTGTTGCGTGTTGTTGCTGTTATGGTTCTTGGTAGTGTCTATTAGCTTTTTATGAAGTTTATGAAGCAAGCATACTGAATAGTTGGATGGAGTATGCAGTCAAATATAATTCACTTCTATAAACATGTAAAATATAATATCTCCAAGATCTGACTCTTTCTTGGAATTGGACCTAGTCCTTGTATACTGTGTCTATGGTGTCTATCATCATCCCCATCACTCTCCTCTGTAGAGCCTGACTGTTTTTGTAGCATTGGGTTCTTTCTTACATCCTTTTTAGCATAGCACGTGTCTTATCCTTAAACCTCGAACTTTTCCTTCTTTTCTTTTGTTGCCTCTTTTCGACCTTTACAAGCCTACTATCATTAGGACATTGAGAAGCACTGCTGGTTGATTCTGCTTCATATTTTATCGTCCTTTATTTTTCCTTACCACGACTGTGTTCATCTCATTGTCTTGACTATCACCACAACTTTAACTGGAGATAAGTGCATGGAGCTATTATATGAACCTGTGAAAGAGTAGAGTTAATAGATGACTCCTCTGCTCAGCCGACTATATGTATTTTAAGTTGTCGGCTGAGTATGCAGAATCCCCTCTCGCCTTTGTGTTCCTCTATCTGCAACTTTGGTTTTGCATTACTTGTATTTTCATAGGAAGTTTTAGAAACATCAGATTTGGTAACTTACAAGCTATACTGGCGGAAGATGAAGTTATTCCCGTGTAATTTATTGCCATTTTACAATTACAGTGTAAATTCTAATCAATTAGTACTATGTATGATAATCTTATCGATCTTAGACACATGAGGCTTGTTAGTAATGTTAAACTCCATTGATTCACTTAACGTATGTTCAATAACATAAGACAACTCTTGTTCAGAAACAGGGATAATTATTAGTTGACATAAAAAAGAGTTTTTTATAGGTCGATGTGTATTTTGCAATACGAACTATTACTTTTTTGATTGTGCTATCATATTCTTCTCCTAGAAATTGAATAAACAATTGAAGCAGGAACTTGTGACTCTCCCCTTCGATGAAGTACATATGCTATCCCCTTTCCCTTCCGAAAAATAAAGCTCTGGCAAAATTTAGCATAGTATAGTTTAGCATAACACTTTTCATTTCAGTACTTGCTTTTTTTTTATTTATGTAGAAACTTGGCATAGTTTAGCATTCTTTTCCTTATCATTTGTTATTAGGGTTGCTGCTGTGGTAATTAACAAGATTAATTTGTTAATGTGCCATGTGTTTAGAGTTGGGATCGATTTGTCTGGGCGTTTGTACCAAACATCAGATTTGGTTTCTGGTCGTTGTTTGTGCAAGCTTTCTGGTGTTAGAGTACTGATAAAATACCCTTTCAGTTCAAAGATATTGTTGTGTGATGTAGGGATAAATGGTTTTAAATCTGATTTCTATTATTGGGATCTTTGGGCATATGCATATTAGCTTCTTTACCAAGCTTAATTCAGAGCCAGTCACAAAATTTATAGCTTCATCTGAATATAGACCAGTTTTAAAAACCTGATATAACTAGTCAATATCTATTGTGCGTTGGTCTGGCTCAGGTCAAAAAGCTTGACCTAGAGCCTGATAACATAACCAAACCTATAACTGATCCTGTGGCAACTTAGTAGTATACATTTTGAGTGTCGAATTCTAGATTCAGGAAAAAAGCTTGTGGATTTTTTAGGCAAGCATTGGGTGGAGGCCCGTGTTCATCATCAATGAATTTTCGTGAGGTATGCTTTATCATTTGGAATGAATTTTTCTGAGGTATGTTGAGTCTCAAATTTTGTAGGACAAAGGTATATTATTTTTTTGAAAGGAAATGTAAATTCTTCTTGCATCCCCTTTGATATATCCTCATTCGCAAGGTGAAAATAACTAGTATATATTTTTGGATGCAGCAATTTTAATACTATTGTGTAATAAAGTTTAGATTTGTGAAAATGATTGCATGATTTATATACTAAAATATCGGATGCTTTCAATAATTATTTTGATGTTACTAACTTATGTTTCACTTACATAGGAATAACATGGGCTAGCAATGAATTCGAAAGATGGATGATCGCAACTATTGAAGGTGGTATATATGAGCAGCGTTGAGAAGGGGTCGATGTAATTAAGTTTGTAATTAGTGTTATTTTATTTAATTTTTAAAGGATCATGTACCTTGTTGACAAAGTGGGATTATCTTATAATTTACACATTTTCTTAATATGTTTTTATAAATTAAACTATTTCATATAATAATTATTCAAAATGTTTGGTATTTGAATTCATTTTCAGATTTATTTGTTTTTTAATAGGTTGTACTACCCATAGTAAGAAAATAATAAAAACACTCGACCCTATTAAAAAACATATGATCGATACCGACAAATATGGACAACGAGTAACTTTGTTGCACAAAGTACTATGGGCAACGACATAACGCATATTGGGCCATTGGGGCAAAGATGGGCGTCGATTAATTTCTTTGCCCAAAATATTATGGGCAACGAAAATAATTTTTCGCCCAAAGTATCAAATATAGGGCAACGAACTTGGTCGTCGCCCAAAATATTATGGGCGACGAAATGAACAGATCATAGGCAACTAACTTGTTCGTTGCACAAAGTAACCTTTGTGCAACGAAATAAAAATTCGTCGCCCAATATGTAATGGGCTTCGACCTTAGGGCTTCGGACCCATGTCTAGACCCATTTCGTTGCCCAAGGTTTTGGGCGACGAAATACTGGTTTTGGGCTTCGAGTTTAGTGGTTGCCCAAAGTCGAATTTCTTGTAGTGTTAGTTCATAATTAATTCAAATTCTATGTCTTTGTTTATGATTGAGTGAATGATATACCTAAACCATTTCCTTTAATATTTTATTTCTTGTCTTAGCGTGTTTAGACTTTAGTTTACTTATCTCTTATTCCGAACTAGATTATTTGTTGATAACATTTGGTAGTGTTTAGCCATTCCCTGTGGTTCGACCCCTATGCTTGCCTTGTACTCGTATTAGTTTAGGTTGTATAAATTGTATTTGATCTAGGGATAGACATTTGACGACGCTTTTATTTCCCTTTGTCAATCTGGGTGGCCCTAAAGTTCAGCTATTTTCTTCTTAAGCCCAAGGGTTATTCTATGGAGATGACCTTGCTTCTTCATAATTGCATTTATGTTGGTATTCCAATAAGGATCGAAGTCGAGATGACACTTCTCCTCTTCTTCCATCATGAGAACGTCTTCCAGAGAGAAACCCTAGAGATCTTCATCTTCCTTATCGTGTTCAACATGTATGATGGGAGTATCAATGACTTGAATACGCATAGGAGAGGAATCAATGGTGATTGGATCCCCTTCAACTATGGCTTTGACTTTCGGGTGCAGCGATAATGGGATCGCCTTTAGCTCATGAAGCCAAGGGCGACCTAATAACAGATTGAAAGAAGCCTTAATGTCCACAACCTGAAACTCGGTGCGACGTTCAATGGCTCCAGTAGTTATGTTTAACATGATAGTACCCACAGCTTGAAGACGAGTATTATCATAAGCACGAATCCCTTGAGTAGAGGGAATCAATTCTTCATTTTTTATACGCATCTTTTTCATAGTGCGCAACGGGCATACATTGGTTGCTGAGCCATTATCAACTAGGCTCTTAGGAACATTCAACTTCCTACACACCACAGTAAGGTGTAAAGACTTGTTATGTTGATCCCTTTCCAGGGGAAAATCCTTATCAGAAAAGGAAATTAGATTGTTGGTGCTTGGAAATTCAGTATTGAGAAAGCTGACTAGCCCTTGAGGAGTCATGTCACTATCAACCCCTATCTTCATAGGAGCATTCATTATAGCCTTTCGATGTTCGTGGGAGGTAGCCAAAAGCTTCCAAACATTCAATTCCACCTTAGTCTTTCATAGTTGCATAAAAACATCATTGCTTACAGGGTCGATGGGATCAACTATTGGTTGTGCTTGCGGTGGAGGTGGACTAGGTTGATGTAACCTTCAATTTTTTGTGAGAACCTTGACCTCAAGGTCCCCCCAAATTTTTTTTCTATATTCATGGTTGAAAATTCCAAGAGATCAACCAACTATATCTTTGAGATAGACGTCTTTGTCATCACTATCCCAAATTCCATTAACTTCTTCATAAGTTGAAACAAAAATAACTTCCGGTAGAGGTTTATCCACAGATTGGATGAGTAGTGACATATCAAAGGAGATTTCATCTCTTGTGATAACCATAACATTAGAAAGAGGACCTGTTTGAATATTAGGCTTCTTGCCCCCTGGAAAAAAGGAAGCTAATTAGCATAAATCAAGTTCTAAATCGCATCCTCTAACTTCCAACATTTCTCAGTAGTATGAACTTTATCTTGGTGAAACTCTTAATGAGCATTGGGGGTCATAGCTAGTTGTTCTGTTATCTGGTCTTGGTTTTGGAAACAGCCCAATACGCATGATCAATCCTTAAATGTGCAGGCGATCAAAAGCAGCGTCATAGCTCATTCCTAATGGTGTGTAAACCCACCTTCGCCTTTGGAATCTCTAAGTGGGAGTACTAAGAGCCAACACATCATTGAGGTTAATGTTGTTGGTAGCATTATTGGGCTTGGAAGACGAAGAAGAAGGAATATCATTCTTCTTGTTTTTCCAAGTGTTGTTATTGTTTTTATTGTTACTACAAGCAGTCTTCATCAACCCATCCTCAATATTGATCCCAATATCGTACACAGCTTCAAAGGTGTTCAAAGGAAGAAATTTCAAATGTTGCTTGTTCTTATGGGTCAAATGAATGAAGAGACAAACCATCTCCTTCTCTTTGGGAGGATC